AACTCCAGTCAGTCTCTAGTTGTCAGGACTGTTAGTCTGGACTGCCAGTTGTCAGGACTGTTACTTCAGTCAGTCTCTAGTTGTCAGGACGCTTGCCGTGCCAAGTGGGCTTCTATATTGATCATTTTCGACAAGCACGCTGTCATGCTCGACAAACATACATTCATGCCCGAAAAACACGCACTCGTACTCTAAAAACATACACTAACTCTCGAAAAACGCGCACTAATGCTTGACCAACACGTATTCATGTTCGATAAACACGCACTCATGCTCGACAAACACGCATTCATGCTCGACAATCACGCACTCATGCTCGACAAACACACATTCATGCTCGACAATCACGCACTCATGCTCGACAATCACGCACTCATGCTCGACAATCACGCATTCATGCTCGACAAACACACTCATGCTCGACAAACAAGCATTCAAGCTCGACAATCACGCACTCATTCTCGACAATCGCGCACTCATTCTCGACAAACACTCATTAATGCTCGACAAACATGCACTCATGCTCGATAATCACTCATTCCTGCTCGACAAACAAACGCTCATGCTCGACAAACAAGCATTCATGCTCGACAAACACGCGTTCCTGCCGAACAAAGTTTTTTCTCAGCAGGCATATATATGCCCCACACATTCACAAACAAGCTCTATAAGAATGTTAGATCGAACGTTTATCTCAAGGTGCAGAGTCTCATACGTTACAGATATTTGATATGTTGCGACCAAGAAAATATAAAAAATATCCGTAATTTCCAATGTTCATATCGCATAACATAATAACGCTAGGAAGGAAGCCGCTCTCTATCGCGTTAACCTTTGCTTCAATTTTTATTGCCCGCAAAAATTTCATTTTTTAGTTCTTCAGTTGAATTTATATTGCGGCCGCTGGTCCTCTTCGTTGTTTGACCATTTCTTTAAAGTAAATATTATAATAAATTAATAATGAATGCTTCATTAATTTGAACCTTTAACGAGCAAAGTTCTCGAAGACATTTTACCAAATTAAAGAAGGGTCATATTCTATTTTTTTTAATAAATCTAATCTTTAATAAGTTTGTTCCATAGGTTCCTTAAGATTGATGGAAAGCGGGTTAGGTTAGCTATGTCCGAAGACCAGGAGTCAAAATAATGAAGTTCTCTCTAGAGGGTTAGAGCCCTTTTGAATAATAACAGTTTTCAATCGTCGCATTATTATAATGGTATTATTGACATTAATTAATAAATTATTTTTCATTCCTTCTTCTTTACTTTGTACGCCGTTGTGGGATGACATAAGCACGACGTTGCATTTTGGCACTCGCTCTCAGTAGCGCATATATACGCTGCTTTCTCGCCACGCATACGGTGACAACTTTGAGTCTTTCGCTAATTCCTCGTGGAAGTTTTTCAGGTCTGCTACAGACTTAGTGGCCTGCTACAGACTTTGTGTCAGGTCTGCTACAGACTTAGTGGCCTGCTACAGACTTTGTGTCTGGTCTGCTACAGACTTTGTGTCAGGTCTGCTGCAGACTTTGTGTCAGGTCTTCTGCAGACATTGCGTCAGGTCTGCTACAGACTTTGTGTCAGGTCTTCTGCAGACTTTGCGTCAGGTCTGCTACAGACTTTGTGTCAGGTCTTCTGCAGACGTTGTGAAAGGCATTCTCTACAGCGTTCGAGCTTTGCTGTGTGGTATAAGGTCATGATGCATGTCTCTTTCGTTTACAATTATGTAAAAACCAATTCCATTTGTATTCAGAGTGTTCATATGTGATCATATTATTTCTCCCAAAGTATTTATGCTTTTCGTTTAGAAAATGTGTCCAATAATAAATGGTTGTGAAACGCTGTAGTTTTCAACTACGGCTGTAAAACTTTCAACATTGTCCGGTTTTGTAAATAATATTCAAATACTAGAAAAAATACAAATTTAAACTTTACTCATGAGCGCTTATCACTATGCAGGAAACTGTAGCAGACCTAACACAGTCTGTAGCAAACCTAACACAAAGTCTGCATTAGACCTAACACAAAGTCTGCAGCAGACCTAACACAAAGTCTGTAGCAGACCTGACACAAAGTCTGCAGCAGACCTGACACAAAGTCTGCAACAGACCTGACACAAAGTCTGCAGCAGACCTGACACAAAGTCTGCATCAGACCTAACACAAAGTTTGCAGAAGACCTAAGAAAAAGACTGCAGAAGATCTAACACAAAGTCTGTAAAAGACCTAACACATCTCCACGCTATCTCGCTACCGTTCTATGAATCGAAGTCCTTCCCATTTACGTCCTCCCAGTATATTAGATACGTGCCAACTTTTGTATGGACATTAATACGAACCCTCCACTATACGACGGTATGTGTAACACTGTAATTTTTCTCAGTCGTACGTACTTCTCTGCTGTGTAGTCGAGTGCTGCGATACTTCAAGTCGCTCGGTCCTTCGCAATGTTCTTCGGTAAACTCGACTGGAAAACAATCGTTTTCACGCCAACTGTTGACCAGATCGCCACAAGTTCCTTTCGTGGCTGATCCTTGCTAATTATTAGTGGAATTCTTGCGTATGTTTTAGTTGTGATTGCGGGTGTGCACTTTAGGACGAAGTCTTTGTACTGAAGGAGAGCCGCTTGGAGCATCCGATGTTCGTAGGATTCCATTGTAAGCAATGCCAACGAGAGACATAGAAATATATATAACCGTTATTATCAATATATATGTGCAGATGAATCTTTGTTTTATTGAATCCTCGACTCCTTTGGTCTAGATTCTGGATGCGAGTAATTATATTTGCGAAAGAAATTCAGGTTTTCAAAAAATAATTTGTCAATATATCCGTGTCCCGTATTGAACTTAGATTTATGTTCAGTTATATAATTGAGATGGCTTCACAGTTAGTGATTAAAAGTGGTTCAAAAGCTTTAAAAGTTTTAAGCCATCAGAAAATACTGCCTCTTGTGATGAATTTTTAATTTAATTTGCTTTTGCTTCATTCTGTTATATCATGCGTATTAATTTCTATTCATTGTTCCTATAATCTCAATTATTTTTCCATATTTATTTGCCTTCAGAGTTCAGATCTTATTAATAAAATTTTCGCATTCTGATCTATTCCTATTATCGAGTCCACACGCACGCTCAGCAACAAGAAATGTTGGCTTTATTAGTCTCTTTTTCAGGTTATAGCTTCTAGACTTACCTATCCAATCATAGTGTTCTTATAAACTTTTTTTGCTGCGCTTGTATCTTATTTTTTGCGGCCTCGCTTTTCCTTCGCTTGAATTTGTCGATTCAGCATCTTAGTAACTCGGTCTTTCATCAACGATTGCCAACATCTGGCAAAAATATTTATGCCTAATTGTGCTGGTAATTTCTATCTTGTTTAAAAATTTGCAGAGAAATAACTTTGTGAAGAATGGAAGAGTGTAGAGTTACTGTGACTTTTGTTGATTGTTCTTTAATTAATTTAGTAATAGTTTGTCAAGTTATGGCTTGTGTTCAACTTTTCTTTTCGATTCAAATTTAACAAATTCTTTTTTGAATCATTGTTACAAAACACAATTAACGAACACATCTTGTGCCACGGCAGCAAACAAAATGTTATTATTTTTCGTAATGCACGTTTTATTTATTACGCGAAAGTCAGAACCTGCAAGCGTTCTTTAAAATTATCATGCGATTTACAAATTAAGTTGTTTGTAAATCGCAACTAACGATTGTTTTTAGAATAAATATTATATCATCTAAATCGATAATCCGTGAATACGATGATCGCACCGTTTTTTAATTCTACAAGAAATTTAAATTAGGATGAAATGCCAAAATATTTTCAAGATCTCGATTTTCTCCATGCGCCCCTGCAGAATTTTAACCCATGCAGGGTTGTGCCACAAAGTTGAGTATGTGTTGAACATTCTGAGATGCAATGTGACTATATTGTGATTGGGATAGTGATAGATAATCCATAGCTCTTGCAGACCTCAGTGCTCATAGAGTGCCCATACACTTGAGGGTTTCGGTGCCCTCAAGAGTGCCATACCCTTGATGTACTCTGTGTCCTCAAGAGTGCCATACCCTTAATGTACTCTGTTCCCTCAAGAGTGTCATACCCTTAATGGTCTCAGTGCCCTCAAGAGTGCCACTCTTAATGGTCTCAGTGCCCTCAAGAGTGCCACTCTTAATGGTCTCAGTGTCCTCAAGTGTGCCACTACCTTTAATGTTCTCAGTGCCCTCAAGAGTGCCACTCTTAATGGTCTCAGTGTCCTCAAGTGTGCCACTATCTTTAATGTTCTCAGTGCCCTCAAGAGTCCCATGCCCTTAATGTTCTCAGTTCCCTCAAGAGTGCCATACCCTTAATGTTCTCAGTGCCCTCAAGAGTGCCATACCCCTAATGGTTTCAGTGCCCTCAAGAGTGCCATATCCTTAATGATCTCAGTGCCCTCGAGAGTGCCATACCCTCAAGGACCTGAGTGCAATATAATCCCTGGTTGCTACAGGCACAGCATGGGCTCAGTTGCTCTTGGGCTGTGGGAGGGTAAGTTGCACATCGCGCCTTCGTTGTGGCATGCGGTTGAGCCATTTTTTTCCATTCTGAATCGATTCATTATTCGAGTATTTAAAAATATTGAACTAGTAACATTACTTTGATGATATCAAGACCACAATCTTTACGGTGCTTCAATTTCATGTCCTATTATTCTTTTATTGAGTGTAGACGTGAGGCTCTTCTGAATGTTGCACGTCGCTGACATGAACGCATGTCACGTGACGCTGTCGTGCACAAATGTTAACTAGACGCATTCATGTGAATTTAACTTCTTATCGAGTTATGTAAAAAAACGTTAGTGTGTAAACTTATTGAAATATTTAGCGAATATTAGAGATAATAATAAATGAACACAATGAAACTAAAATATTTACCTGACATGTGACTATTTGTAGAAGCTAAATGAAATTCAATCATTTTTCAGTAGTGATTTCTCTAAATTAATGCATTTTAGTAAATATTTACAGTGGAATCGGAACCGAATTATATTTACAATTTAAATTTTGAGCCGTATTGAGGTTGGCCAATTAAAGTGTGGCCAATATCCTTGTTTCACATTTGGAATGTGTGAGCGTCACTTCGTGTACTACTGATTTTCATACGCGATTGAAATCACTAGAGAAATGCTCATGTAAAATATAATTGAATATTGCAAAATTGTACGATATGTCGCTCTTAAATTCTTCGACAAAAATATTTTAATTTCATTTTATCGATTGTTTCTGGGACTTATTTCCCAGTCACTGTGGTCCGAAAAAACTGTGAATCGGCGCTCAATGATATTTGTTCAAGAAGATGTCACAGTTGCAACATTGCTGCTTGTTGCTGCTGCTAGTTTGCGGTGAGTAAAGTTTATGTTATAAACATATGAAGTATTTATACGCTTTTCTAAATGTGTAATTTTGTATCTAAATTTCATTAGAATTAAATATTTCTATCAAATTTTCTAATAATCATGTTAGATTCTTTTTGTTGTGAAAGATGATTTATGCTGCAAATGACGAAATCATATTTAAGTACAATGCTGATTTCTTACGTAATGATCTCACAAGTTGGTTAACCGAAAGATATTTGTACAAGATTACACTCATAAAAATAAATAACTATACTATACTACCACCGAAAAATAATTGGTAATAAAATTATTAGACTATCTAAAATAAAAATGGAAGCCACTCCAGTCAAATGACGTTGAAACTAAGTTAATTACATCGAAATCACATTCAATCACCGTATTTCCGCGTCAATATCCTGCATGGTGAGTTTAACAATACCATTTTTTTAATTAGACTATATAAATTAAAAATAAAGGTAACCTTTGAAGTACTTTATCCTTTCATTTTCGTACCTTCAGGCCCCACCTCCGGCAGCTCCCCTACGCCCCCGCCGTGCTACTGCAGCACGGCAGAGAAGCTCTGGGTGGAGGTCGAGGCTCCGGTCACTGGATGGTTCAGTAGACGAAGTTGTGTCTTATTCAGGCGATACTTCAATGAGAACACTTACTTCGACTTAACTGTGGTTGGTATTAATTAAAACTATTCACTGGATGGTTCAGTAGACAAAGTTGTGTCTTATTCAGGCGATACTTCAATGAAAACACTTACTTCGACTTAACTGTGGTTAGTATTAATTAAAACTATGGGTTGGCTATGTACTATTGACATAACTCGTCACTTTAACTTCCTAGATCGTTAATTAAAACTTCAGGCGATACTTCAATGAGAACACTTACTTCGACTTAACTGTGGTTGGTATTAATTAAAACTATGGGTCAGCTATGTACTATTTACATAACATAACTCATCACTTTAATTACCTAGACCGTTAATTATAACTTTAGGCTGCACTTTGATGGTATTAATTAAAACCATGGGTTGGCTATGTACTATTAACATAACTCGTCGCTTTAACTACCTAGATCGCTGATTAAAACTTCATGCGATACTTCGATGAGAACACTTACTTCGACTTAACTGTGGTTGGTATTAATTAAAACTATGGGTCAACAATGTACTATTAACATAACTGGTCACTTTAACTTCTTTTCTTGGATCGCTAATTAAAACTTAGGCGATACTTCGATGAGAACATTTACTTCGATCTAACTGTGGTCGGGTTTAGTTTTGTTATAATTAATTGTTATTTTCAGAGTGTTCTCGTGGGGGGAGAGTATTCGACTTTGCGTTTGTAGTCGATCACTTGACATGCTTTTTCATTTTTATGCTCTTCTTTTTTTTCGAAATGATAACGCAGTCTCAACTCTTACGGTACAGCCCGACGCAAAAGGTTAGCCCCACCCCTTTAAAACATCATAACACATCGAGTTTTGCCAGTTTTAACGTGCAAATGGTGGCAAACGATTTGTCTTGCGCTCTGCAATCTATAGCAGGTAAAATTTGGTGAAGAAGTTAATTACTGGTGGAAAAATCAAGCGGTTCGTGTTTTTGCACCGACGCAAAAGGTTAGCCCCACTTTGCAAGTTTGGCTTTGGCGCTCTTTCGGACAGGACGCAGCGTAGACTCGCTGCAAAGGGTGCGTTCATAGCGCAGTAGTTGTGCACGGATCTTATGCTCACCTAGGCAAGAAATGGGCGCGGGAAAGCTTCTAACTGAGTTTCAGAAAGATGCCATTCAAGCCCTGATGGCGCTACCTGAGGGCGAGGACCCTAGCCTGCGTCAAATGGAGGCACAAGTGGGGTGTAGCCGCAAAGCCATCTCCAACTATCTCAAGGACCCCGTGAACTACGGAAAGCGGCACTCCAAAGGCCGCCCCAAGAAGATGTCGGCCCGTGACACGCGTCGCCTCTTCCGAGTTGAGGTGCCGGCGACTTGAGCGCGCCCAAACAAGTCCAAAAGTTGAAGCTCAATGTCTCCAAGTCCACCGTCTCTCGCACCCTCTCGTCCTCCGGCATCTTCCAATACGTGAAGATGAACAAGGCCCCCCCAAATTGACCGAGGTTCACAAGCATGCCAGGGTCGCCTGGGGCACTAATAAAGTATCATTCTTCTCTAAGTATGAAGTATCATAAAGTATCATTCTTCTCTAAGTAAGTCAAAAGCAACGATGAAAATGACACTAATGCTGAAGAATTACAAAACTTATAGTTAATATGAATAATATCAAGAATGGACATATTATTATCGGAAAAATCACAATTATCTCAACAATAAAGATTATTTCTATTACAGAAAATGGAGGGAACAGTCACGGATTTAACACTGCACAGGGAACACCTCGAAGATGAACATCTGAACTACACCCATGAGGAGATAACTGTTTTGTGTCCTGGTAATTTCAACTTAAATTTAATAAAATATGTTACCAATTACATGTTATTTGTTATTTATTTGAAATGTGTTTTCATTTGTGTAGCATTCGCCACATTCCATAAATCCATTATATGCAGTGCACATGTGAATAAATTGATTTCAATTTGTTTGACTTACAGCGCTCTAAATACTCTAAAATGCATTATTTAAAAATTAATCTGCATTATTAATTATCTCTAATTATTAAATTATCTAAGAGCGATCCTTACATTTCCCGGCTCATTGTCTGCAAATTTTGTCTTCACAACTGCAAATTTTGTCTTATTAAATTCGACGTGCTGTATTTTTCTTTCAAATTTTTTGTACTTCGTAGAATCATTTTTCATTTTCGCGATGCACAGTATCTGAATCAAATTCGTATCATTGAATATGTCAATAATTCATAAATGAATATAGATGATGGATAACTTTGTTTGGAATTTCGTTTATAGACAACTTAGATGTTTCTTTGTTTTTACTGTTTTGAATGGTTTAACCTCTATAGAAACTTGAACTCAATGGTTTACGCTTCCTATGTTCAGTTACCCTAAATCCTATCTTCAGTTACCCTAAATTTTCTTAGAGATGAAGTGACGGCTAGTGCTTAGTGATTCTATCGTTCAAATCGTTAAGCCTTAGAAGGAATTAATCTCAATATTAATTAATCTGAATATTAATTATTCTAAAAAATGAATCAAAAAATTTAAAAGCAAATGAAATTTCACAAAAATTCATCACATCTTTGTAGAAAAAATTTAAAAGATAAATAAAAGATAAAAAGATAAAAGTTTAAAAGATAAGATGAATTATTGTGGAATTTCGTTTGGTTTCAAATTTCTAGTGAATTTTCGATTCAAGCAAATGAGTAAGACATCCTTAGAACTGTCTCCATAGGTAAAAACCTTCTTGCAAAATCAATTCTTCAAATAATTCATTTAAGGCTGAAATAAATTTCTTTTAAGTTTTGTTAAATAAATTATTTAATTTTTCAGAAGACGTTCAGGAGTGTAAGTGCAAGAAATTGATTATCTCTGGACTGTCTGAATACAACGGAAAATACGTCATGAACGACCAGAGCGAAGGCTTCGATTCCGACGTAAGACCGACGTCGCGTACATACAACGACGATCAAAACAACGTTGATTACGTCCAACCACATCGAAATATTCAAGACCAATTAGCTCCCGTTTATCGTGGGTGGAATAATCTGGAGGCTACGACACAAACTCGTCGAGATGACAAGTCATATGGTCGAGACAGCGAGTCACATGGTCGAGATAACGAGTCACATGGTCGAGATAACGCGTCACATGGTCGAGACAACGAGTCACATGGTCGAGATAACGCGTCACATGGTCGAGATAACGAGTCACATGGTCGAGACAACGAGTCACATGGTCGAGATAACGAGTCACATGGTCGAGATAACGAGTCACATGGTCGAGATAACGAGTCACATGAAGATGCCATCCACGACATACTTGGGGCGGGCCAGCTGGAGCCAACACACGACATGTGCGTCAAAGCAAAAGAATACGTCCTCAAGCACCGCGCTCACATATGGTGGTTCAGGTAAACTACATTATTCAACTGATAACATGTGGGTACAAAAAGTATAAATTGCACTTCAATCTTTATTTCGAGATTATAATAACAATAGTTACACTGACCACTAATCCATGCTCGTCCTATTAATCGATCCCATTTCATCTTCCAGACCAGGTATGAACAACGAAGAATCCCGTCGAGAAAAAAATGAACATGTGTCCCAGTCACTGATGGAGCCTGAAATGAAACTTTTTGCAGGGGAATGGCAGGGCAACTTTCCAATATTAATGAAATCGTTACCTGAGAAACCTTTGAAAAGTTACAAACAAAAGCGATGGGCCGTCGCGGAACCGAAGGATTACTTTTCCTCGTTGCATGAGGAAGCCTTGCTGAAGGAACGTCCGTCAAATTCGTTCTACCGGAAAAGAAATGTCAACAAAATTGTTACTGGAAATACATTACATCAAGAATTACAACAGGAAAATGGGCTGCAAAATTTCATGGGAAAGAAGTGGAAGCAAGGTAAATTGGAAGCAAAAAGGGAGGAAAATAGATTCAGTCCTCCAGTTCTCGCGACAGTCCAGGATTCAGGACATGAAAGCAGCTGCAAGTTTTATCATGAGCTGCTATACGACGTGAGGCTACAGTGGAGTATTGAGACAGAGAGCTGGATAATCGGTAAGTTATAAGTTGCATAAACGAGTTGAACAAAGGATTTCATTAAGCGGTACAGTTGAAAAAGACAATGTATAGACAGTAGTCATTCTCTTACGACTTGATCTTTAAAGTAGCGAGCCTTTAACTAATGCTAACTAATTTTTCTGCCAAATCTCGAAATAATTTCGTATAATAAAATAATTACCAATGTAGAGACCAGGCACTTTAACCGACTGCACGGCTAGTAAAGCCAGCACTGACAGCCATTAACCCTCTACCGCCTTAGGGTACGCACACAGTGGAAGCAGGTTTGCCTGCGCGGGCAACCTGCTCCAACCTGCCACAAGAATGAACATAGGATAATAATGTAAGTGTTCACAGTGAAAACCTGTACGAATAGGCTTCTGTATGCTATGGTTTCAACCTGCCACAAGAATGAACATAGGATAATAATGTAAGTGTTCACAGTGAAAACCTGTACGAATAGGCTTCTGTATTCTATGGTTTCAGGCGCCAGCCTGAGCAGGTAACCAGCACGCTGGCAACCTGCTTTCACTGTGTGCGTACCCTATCACGTGTAACCGGAGCAATGTTGTCACGCGCCTACTTCCCAAAAAGGTACGTTCTAGTGAGCGCAAAATGACTTGCACTGATGGTTGCCGCCACGTACAACTTTGAAATGTTCTCTGTTGCGTAGAAACGTCCTCATGTTGCTACACTCAATAGTTTACGTATAATTAAAGTCGAAAGTTATGTTCCCGGAGAGTGACATATGGCGGTAGAGGGTTAAAGACCTACACAAAGTAAATACCATCAAAATGTTCTAATTTATTTCGTTGCTCTTATTATATGCCAATGGATCTGCTATTTCAATTAATAATAAACAAAAAAATACAGAATAATCTTAACTCTTGGAATAATAAAAATTGTTGTTTGATTCTTCTCCCAATTTTATTGATATCTAAGATAAAATGCACCAGAGTAATGATCAATTGTTTCACATCATTTCCAGGCAAAGGGGCTGAAACCCTAGCGGTAAGCTACTCCACATCACGATGCCCCGACTCCGCTTCCGGCGACTGGTGGTGGGTAACGAACCAACAGCAGGGAAATGTGGACAACAACCAGAACTTGAATAACTATAACGGCAATAACCTGAACTCGGAAGCTAGTGTGAATCGAGGATTAATATTGAACTCGCTAGATGAATATCAATCAAACCCACAGACGGAGGATGCCCATGTACGCGCCAGAGAAAACGACACTCAAAACAAAAACCTGGAACGGGAACAGCAGAAACCTGAAGATATTGCCTTGAGTGAATACGAAGAAAATTTGTATGACTTCTCTGTCAAAGAGACGGAAGAAAGAGGTGTTGATGACAGAAATGAAATTCAGGATCAATTTTTGGACATAACTGTAAACATTACTTGTGGGGAATGATTTTTTGTGATCTTTCTGTAAGCGAAGAAGAGGCATTTAATTATGATAACCAGTGGTAATGAGGTATATTTCTGAAACCATTCATTTAGCATATTAATACTTGGAATAAAATCCACAAGTATAATTACTTATGCCAATCTTTCAAATCATATCATTTGATACGACTTGCATGCGTACTTTGCGAGAAACGTGATATCGTAAATATAAAATTTCTTTCAGCTTGCTAAGATATTTTGTATAATCATGCATATCATTGCTCGATTATGGTGTCCGATCCAAGATTGCCACTTTGTATTCAATCAAAATTAACATTTTTTATAATAGTTTTACAATGCTAGTGCATCATATAACTTGCGTTCTTACATATTACATAGGGATATACGCATCAGATTTACTTTCTATGTGTATTTATACCAATAAAGAGAATACAAGATCGTGCGAAAAACCATTGCTCATGTGAACGCGTCCGACACGACATACAAATGTTATCTGGATGAAAAGTTACTTATTTAATGCACATGAATTTCTGTCCATCACGCAAAAATGACACCAAGTAACACGCCGTCCGCAACAAGTTTCCGCAATCTTACACTGACGGCTGTAATTCTATGATGACATTATGAGTGTGTAGTGACCATAATACATCTATCTGGTACAACGATCAATTCGTATCATTCGATCAGGTAACGATATTCGAATGATTTGATCAATTCTGAAGATACGATCAATCCGTATCATTCGACTCGCCAGTATCATAAGTAACGTCGAGGTATGCGTTAGCTGGAGCCTGTATCATAAGTAACATCGAGGTATGCGTTAGCTGGAGCCTGTATCATAAGTAACATCGAGGTATGCGTTAGCTGGAGCCCTGTCTCTTATACACATCTAGATGTGTATAAGAGACAGGTCTGGGATTCTGGGGTTGTTATTGTAGATACAATG